GGCGGGTGAAGGTCTGGGGTCAAACAGTTATAAAGATTCTTATAGTATGAGCCAAAAAGGGATGCCATGACCTGAGGATCATAGGTAGGGCTTCCATTTGGTTGGATTAAAAGATCAGGCATCGTGGAAGGAGACTGAGCTTTGAGTCGATTGACTAACATACGATGAGGTTTGTTGGAAAATTCGTAAAATTTTTGCTTAACCCATAAGAGGGATTGCGCAGACCTACTAGAGTCAAGAGTTTTAATGCGGTCACGTAGAGATGTTACCTTCCGGAGCCCAGAAATGGACGGCTTGGCCAACAACTGTCGTTCTGCCAAAGACAGTTGATGGATGAGAGAAGCCCTAGCACTCGCTGAAGATTTTTTTAAACGAGAACCCATAGAAATACAGAGTCCTCGAAATACCGCCTTATGAGCCTCCCATAGGGTTGAGGAAGAAGCTACGGAGCCAACATTGTGGGTGAAATAGGTATCAAGTCCCCGTGACAGTTCATCCCTAAGATGTTCTGTAGAAAGAAAGGTCTCATTAAGGCGCCAATGACATGGTTTGGGTATAATAGGAGGGAAAAAAAAAAAGGTTTAAAGTCAGAGAGGCATGGTCAGACCAGGTAATGGGGTTGATTTCAGAGGCGACCAGGAGTGGAAGAAGTGGGGCAGAGATAAAAAAATGATCTAGGCGGGAAAAACTACGGTGAGGGGTGGAGTAGAAAGTAAATTGTTTATGGAGGGGGTGTTTAATCCGCCAGGCATCAAAGAGACGATGCTCCCTTATCAGTCTACGGAAAGATTTTGAAGAGGAGCATTGCCGCTTCGAGGGTGTGGACTCGAAAAGAACTTTCCTGTCTTTATGGGGGGAAAAAACCAAGTTGAAATCGCCCCCAACAATCACATGCGAAATGGGAAAGGAATCTAAGTTGGCGAGTGTTTGTGAAAGAAATTGCAATTGACCCGAATTTGGGGCGTATAGATTCAACAAAACAAGGGGAGTGTCACCAAGCATACATTCCAAAATAATAAAGCGACCCTGTTGGTCAACCCTGGAGGAAACAACCCGAAGGGAGCAGTGAGACCTAATCAAAATTGCCACCCCAGCCTTTCCAGAAGGATCAAAGGCCGAATAGGCTTGAGAAAAAAATCTCGAGGCAAAACGGAAGGAGCCAGTTGATTTGAAATGGGTCTCCTGGACAAAAATAATGTCTGCTCCTGAGGATCGAAATTCCCGCAAAGCCATCCAACGTTTTTGAATGGAATTGAGACCCTTGACATTATATGACAAAAACCTCAAAGCCATTATAAAAAATAATAATAAATTAAGCACATGTATTAGCATGAGAAATGCATAATATACCATCGATGTAAAAAAATGGAGAACAAAAAACATTAAACTAACACAAGAAAGAACAAACACAGTAGTTGACATAAGTATCCGCAAGGATATAAACTTGGGAGCAACAATTTGGCCCAAGTCGTCTAGGCCTATGGCTAGACAAAATCGGGAGCAACACGACAACCAAGACATCAGGGAGATCGCCAAACCCGGCCAGAAAAAACAAAAGTGAAAAAAACAAAAAAAAAAAAAAAAAAAAAAAAAACAAAACACCCAACAATGGTTCGGCCGGCCAGAAATGAAAAACCTGTGGAAAAAAACATGTATAAACCAGGAGGGAAGGATCGGCATCGAAGTCGCTTCGGAGAAGCACCCCAGGGAATCAACAGACAGGCGGATCAGTTGTCCGAGGATGTCGTGGACGTTGTGGGGTACGTGAGAGCCTCTTCCGGCCTCTGTGGACTGGAGTCCAGATCTTGTTGGGGGTGGCAGATGGACGGACTGGAGTGGGTGGCAGAGGGGTTATGTCATCTGACAAAGGTGGAAGTCCCAGGCGCTTAAAAAAAGAATCCGCCTCATGAAGATCACGGAGCACAACTTGAGTATTGTCCCTAGTTACGATCAGCCTGAAGGGGAACCCCCACCGATAAAGGACACGGTGTTGCTGGAGGTGTGAGGTGATCGGCTTCAGAGCTCGCCGCTTGGCCAGGGTAATCGGGGACAGATCGCAGAAGAGTTGGAGTCTGTCACCTTTAAATTCCAGAGATGGCTTGTGGCGAACTGCTGATAATAAGGCTTCCTTGCTTTGAAAAAAATGGAAGCGAACAATGACGTCGCGAAGTCTGGTGCCTTCAACAGGTTTTGGGCCCAAGGAGCGATGAGCCCTGTCCATACGCCAATCAGCTTCTGGAACCAAGGGAGCAGTTGCGGTGAAAAAGGATAATAGGTGACGGTGTAGTTGTGCATCATCAATAGATTCGGACATACCGCGTATACGGATATTTTGGCGCCGTTCCCTGTTTTCCAAATCCTCTTGTTGGAGCTGCATTTGGGACATGGAATGTTTAAAATACGCGTTGTCCTCTTCCAGAACATGAACGTATTGCACCAAATCATCAAACTCAGTTTCCAATTTATCCGTGCGGTCACCAATCTGCGCTATTTCCCCTCTGAGATCCAACGCCAGTTTTCCAATTTCAGTGGAAATGGATGCGGTGATATTGCGTAAGAATATTTGCAATTTATCATCTAGCGCTGAAATTGTGAGAGAAGATGATGTGACAGCCTGCTGGGAAATCTGGGTGGAGGGGTGTTGATTGCCTGAGGCAGGATGAACTATTGCCCCCCCAGTTATATTCTGGGGATCAGGATCCTCCATCTGGGGCTGGAGCAGGGCAGAGGCAGTCAGAGGAGCTGTAATGCTTGAGGGTGCAGTACCCTCCGTGACCACCCGGGAGTCCGGGATCGTTCCCTGGGTTCCTGGACATGCCAGAGGCCGGGGATTGCGGCCTGGATAGGAACCGCCGAAGCGGTGACGGCCGCGGATCCTGTGGCTGCGGGGGAGGGGGGCTTCCAGCGCCCTATCTTCCCCATAAAGGGCTCGTTCTGGTGCCGTGCCAGGTGCAGAGGGTGTATGACTCACCCGGAGCTGAAGGAAGGCAGTGGCGCGTGACGGGTGAGTCCGTGCTGGCCGGGAATGAGCGGAGCTCAGGGATTACACATCCGCCATCGTCCCTGGTCGCGCATGCGCCCCGTCCATCGTCCCTTTGATGCGGTGCAGTTGTCTTGTCCCCTTAGCAGAAAAAACACCCCCAAAGCAGAATGTTTCCACCACCATGTCTCACAGTTGGGATGGTGTTCTTGGGGTCATAGGCAGCATTCCTCCTCCTCCAAACATGGCGAGTTGAGTTGATGCCAAAGAGCTTGATTTTGGTCTCATCTGACCACAACACTTCCCACCAGTCCTCCTCTGCATCATTCAGATGTTCAGTGGCAAACTTCAGACGGGCCTGGACATGTGCTTTCTTGAGCAGAGGGACCTTGCGGGCACTGCAGGATTTCAGTCCTTGTCGGCGTAGTGTGTTGCCAATTGTTTTCTTGGTGACTGTGGTCCCAGCTGCCTGGAGATCATTGACAAGATCCTCACGTGTAGTTCTGGGATGATTCCTCACTGTTCTCATGATCATTGACACTCCACGAGGTGAGATCTTGCATGGTGCACCAGACCTAGGGAGACTGACACTTGTTTTGTGTTTCTTCCATTTGTGAATGATTGCACCAACTGTTGTCACCTTCTCACCAAGCTGCTTGGCCATAGTTTGGTAGCCCAGTCCAGCCTTGTGTAGGTCTACAATCTTGTCCATGACATCCTTGGACAACTCTTTGGTCTTTGCCATGGTGGAGAGTTTGGAATCTGATGGTTTGATGGCTCCTGTGGACAGGTGTCTATTAATTTTTTTTTTTTATATTTTGAATACGGCCAAAATTGTAGCATTTCAAATACATGTCGATATTTTTGGGAAGAATATTTCAAAAATATATTTCAAATATATTTTTCTTCCATATGGGGACGGTTGGCTCTCTTGTAAAAGCCACTACTAGTTGCTCTATTGCTTTTACAAGCAGCGAGAGGGGACACCCCCTCTCCTCACTCCACCTCCCTCCTCTCATTCGGGATCTCCTGTCCCACCAGGAGTCCCAAACGACCAGCCAGCACGTCCGATGGCTGGCCAAGCAGCTGGACAAAGCCAGAATCAGCTTTTATCGGCTCTCCTTTTGTTGTAAACCGGAAGCAATGACCTGATGTCACTTCCAGTTTACATTTTTAAAAATCTGAAAGCATTAAAAAACACCAATCTTGGTGTATTGAATGCTTTCAAGTGCAGAGGAGGGATTTGGGGTCTCATAGACACCAGATCCCTCCATAAAAGGAATCAAATTCCTTGCGACAGCAATAAAAGTGATAAAAAAAAAATTAAAGTGACAGTGTTAAAAAAAAAAAAAAAAAAAAAAAGAATAAAAAAAAAAAATTAACGGAAACTCACCCCCCCCCCATGCTTGTGCGCAAAAGTAAATGCACATGTCGGTCCAACGCCTGCAAACAACGGTCGTCCCACATGTGAGGTATCCCCACGACCGTCAGTTCATGGGCAGATCATCAGACCTCCTCTGTAAATCTAATATGGTCATCTGTAAAGGATTTTGTGACAACAATAAAAGTGATTTAAAATAAAATAAATAGAGAGAGAGAGAGAGGGGGGGGTTAGAGAGAGAGGGGGGGAGAGAGAGGAGGAGGGAGAGAGAGGGGGGGAGAGAGAGGGGGGGAGAAAGGGGGAAGAGGGAGGGAGAGAGAGGAGGAGGGCGAGAGAGGGAGAGAGATGGAGAGAGGAGAAAGGAGAGATAGAGATAGGAGAAAGGAGAGAGAGGGAGGTAGACAGAGAGGGGGGAGAGGGAGAGAGGGGAGAGAAGGGAGAGAAAGGGGGGAAGCAGAGAGAGAGAGGGGGGGGAAAGGGAAGAGAGAGGGGGAGAGGGAGGGGAGAGAGAGGCAGAGAGAGGAGGAGGGGGGGGAGAGGGGGGGAGAGGGAGGGAGAGAGAGGGGGGGAGAGAGGGAAATGGAGGGAGAGAGAGTGGGAGCGAGGAGAAAGGAGAGAGAGAGGGAGAGATGAGAAAGGAGAGAGAGGGAGAGAGGGAGGGAGAGAGAAGGAGAGAGGGGAGAGAAAGGAGGAGAGAGGGGGGAAGGAGAGAGAGGGGGGGGGAGAGGGAGGGAGAGAGGAGAAAGGAGAGAGAGAGAGAGGGAGAGGGAGAGGGAGGGGGAGAGAGGGAGGGAGAGAGGAGAAAGGAGAGAGGGAGGGAGAGAGAGGGAGGGAGGAGAAAAGAGAGAGGGAGAGGAGGGAGAGAGGAGAAAGGAGAGAGATAGAGATATGACAGTGTAAAAATAAAAAATAAAAAAATGAATAATTAAAAAAAAATTAACGTAAACTCGCCCCCCTTGCTCATGCGCACAAGCAAACACGCATGTCGGTCCCGCGCATCTGCAAACAGCGGTCGTCATCACCACGACCGTCAGATCATGGGCAGTGCATCAGACCTCCTGTAAATCTAATATGGTCACCTGTAAAGGGTTTTTATGTGTCGCCTATTAAAAAAAAAAAAATTTCCAATAAAATGAAAGAAATTTATTTTTTCCCAAAAATGACGTTTGAAAAAAATGCTGCATAAATACCGTGTGACATAAAAAAAACTAAAGAAAAACTAATTTATTCTCCAGGGCCTCTGTTTTTAAAAAAAAATACAATGTTTGACGATTCTAAGACATTTTCTAGCAAAAAATACTTCTTTTAAAACTTTTTGAACCAGTTGCCGGCCCCAGGTAGCCGAATGACAGCTGCACACTGTGACCGGCCAGTTCTGGGAATGTTTTTACATTCCTGTGACAGCAATAAAAGTGATTTAAAAAAAAAAGTGTAAAAATAATAAATAAATAAATATATAATAAAATGTAAAAAAAAAATGAAATTGCCCTTGTCCCCCGTCACTGTCTGTTGGTGTCACAAGGAATGTTTACATTGCTCTCTCTGCCAATTCCCTTTCTGCAAATCCCTCCACTGGTCTCCACTCAGTTTCCTCCACCCCTCTCTGCCAATCCATCCACTGGCCTCCACTCAGTGTCCTCCACCCCTCTCTGCAAATCCCTCCACTAACCTCCATTCAGTGTCCTCCACCCATCTCTGCTAATCCCTCCACTGGTCTCCATTCAGTGTCCTCCACCCCTCTCTGCCAATCCCTCCACTGACCTCCACTCAGTGTCCTCCATCCCTCTCTGACGATTCCTCCACTGACCTCCACTCAGTGTCCTCCACCCCTCTCTGCCAATCCCTCCACTGACCTCCACTCAGCATCCTCCACTCCTCTCTGCCAATCCCTCCACTGGTCTCCATTCAGAGTCCTCCACCCCTCTCTGCCAATCCCATCACTGACCTCCATTTAGTGTCCTCCATCCCTCTCTGCCAATCCCTCCACTGGTCTCCACTCAGTGTCCTCCACCCCTCTCTGCCAATCCCTCCACTGGCCTCCCATTGCCCAATGGATAAAATTCAAAACATTAACAATCACATATAAAGCCATTTATAACTCCGCCCCAAAATTACATCACCAAGCTTGTCTCCAAATATCACCCAAACCGTCCTCTCTGCTTCTCCCACGACCTCCTGCTCTCTAGCTCCCTTCTCTCCTCTTCACGTGGTTGGCTCCAGGACTTCTCCAGAGCTTCCCCCATCCTCTGGAACTCTCTACCCCAATTATCAGACTATCGCCTACTCTGCTCATTTTTCTTCGGGGAAGCCTATCCTGCCCTCAGCTAATAATGGAATCTTCTATTCCTCTTACCAGTCCATCCCCCACAGTTATTACCTTTTGTACCACTAGCCCCTCCCTCTTAGATTGTAAACTCAAAGGATCAGAGCCCTCCTAACCCTCTTGTATTGAGCTGTATTGTTGCTGTATTGTCTCCCTTTACATTGTAAAGCGCTGAGCAAACTGTTGGCGCTATATAAATTCTGTAGTAATAATAATAATAATAATAATAAATAATAATTAATAATAATACAAACATTTATTAAAGTGTTTTTTTTTTTCCAAAAAAAAAAACCTGAGCTCGAAAAACCATAAATAATCATCATAAATAATAATAATATTTATGATGATTATTTATTATTATTTATGATGATTATTTATGGCTTTTCGAGCTCAGGGTTTTTTTTTGGAAAAAAAATACACTTTAATTAATTTTAGTATTATTATTATTATTTATGATGATTATTTATTATTATTATTAATAATAATGATAATAATAATACTAAAATTAATTAAAGTGTGTTTTTTTCCCAAAAAAACCCTGAGCTCGAAAAACCATAAATACTCATCATTAATAATAATAATAATAATACATAATAATAATAATAATAATAATACTAAAATTAATTAAAGTGTATTTCTTTCCCCAAAAAAACCTGAGCTCAAAAAACCATAAATAATCATTATAAATAATAATCATAAATAATAATGATAGTAATAATCAAAATAATATTAAAATAATTAAAGTGTATTTTTTTCCCAAAAAAAACCCTGAGCTCGAAAAAACCATAAATAATCATCATAAATAATAATAATAATGATAATAATGATAATAATAATAATGCTAAAATTAATTAAAGTGTATTTTTTCCCCAAAAAAACCTGAGCTCAAAAAACCATAAAATAATCATTATTATTATTAATAATAATAATAATAATAATAATGATAATAATAATAATAATAATGCTAAAATTAATTAAAGTGTATTTTTTCCCCAAAAAAACCTGAGCTTGAAAAACCATAAATAATCATTATAAATAATCATAATAATCATAAATAATAATGATAATAATAATAATCATAATAATACTAAAATTAATTAAAGTGTATTTTTTCCCCACAAAAACCTGAGCTCGAAAAAACCATAAATAATCATTATTATTAATAATAATAATAATAATAATAACAATAATAATAATAATAATGCTAAAATTAATTAAAGTGTATTTTTTCCCCAAAAAATCCTGAGCTTGAAAAACCATAAATAATCATTATAAATAATAATAATAATAAAATAATCATAAATAATAATGATAGTAATAATCATAATAATATTAAAATAATTAAAGTGTATTTTTTCCCAAAAAAACCCTGAGCTCGAAAAACCATAAATAATCATCATAAATAATAATAATAATGATAATAATAATAATGCTAAAATTAATTAAAGTGTATTTTTTTCCCCAAAAAACCTGAGCTCAAAAAACCATAAATAATCATTATTAATAATAATAATAATAATAATGATAATAATAATAATAATGCTAAAATTAATTTAAAGTGTATTTTTTCCCCAAAAAATCCTGAGCTTGAAAAAACCATAAATAATCATTATAAATAATAATAATAATTATAAATAATAATGATAATAATAATCATAATAATAATAATACTAAAATTAATTAAAGTGTATTTTTTTTCCCAAAAAAAACCTGAGCTCGAAAAAACCATAAATAATCATCATTAATAATAATAATATTGATAATAATAATAATGCTAAAATTAATTAAGTGTATTTTTTCCCCAAAAAAACCTGAGCTTGAAAAACCATAAATAATAATTATAAATAATAATAATAATCATAAATAATAATGATAATGATAATAATAATAAAATGAATTAAAGTGTATTTTTTTCCCCAAAAAAACCCTGAGCTCGTAAAACCATAAATAATCATCATAAATAATAATGATAATAATAATCATAATAATAATCATAATAATACTAAAATTAATTAAAGTGTATTTTTTTCCCCCAAAAAAAATCTGAGCTCGAAAAACCACTTTGCGAAATATCATGTGACATAAAGCTACGCAAACCCCGCCGTTGTATTCTCTAGGGCCTCTGCTTAAAATACATATCTATCTCAGGAGGCACAGTGGGCAAAGCACATGTCATTCGCCGAGGCAAGTGATGTACTTGGGGGGGGGGGGGGGGGATAAAAAGATGTTTCTCAATACAAAAAAAAAGGTGAAAAAAAACAAAAAACACTATTTGAACAGCGGAAGTTCAAATTGAGGGTGACGATCAACTCTAAGCATCAGCTTGTCTTTCCTTCCAGCCTTCCAACCAGGGGCGGACTGACCATTTGGAAACTCGGGCACTGCCCGAGGGCCCGGGGTCAGTAGGGGGCCCCATGAGATGCCCCTGGTACCTTTTTCATTGGCTTTTTTGAGTTTGGGCAAGGACACAGTGGCCCCATGATCCCCTATTGAGGGCCCGGAGTCTGTAGGGGGCCCCATGAGATGCCCCTGGTACCTTTTTCATAGGCTTTTTTTGAGTTTGGGCAAGGACACAGGGGCCCCATGATCCCCTATTGCCTGGGGGCCCCATGAGTTGTCAGTCTACCCCTGATAGACACCCATAAATATTATGGTTTTCAAATGTTCCTAGTGAAGGGTATTGTTAATGCTACAACATACAAAGACATTTGTATTGTTATTGTGAGCTTTCATTCTTGTGGCAGCAGTTTGGGGAAGACCCTTATTTTCTGGGAAGGCTCGCCACAAGAGTTTGGAGTGTCTGGGTCACAAATCATGGGGCCCCATGATCCCCTATTGCCCGGGGGCCCCATGAGTTGTCAGTCCGCCCCTGCTTCCAACGCACCGTGACATCCACAAGGTAGATATTTCTTCCTGAAAAACAGAAAGTGCGGAGAGACTCTTCAGTGTTGCAAACAATTCACGTGTTTAATTAATCAGCGCTGTTTCCACACATTCCACTGAATAGAAATGGCCCAGGCCGGCCACAAAGGATGAGAAGGAAAACAATGTATCGCTTTGATCTCTCACATGGATGTTGGATCCTTGCTGCAGCGCTCAGGAAAACAGACAGTTTGCAGAAGTTGTCAGGATACATTTATCTGATAAGGTCAAAGTGATTCCACAGGGGGGGGGGGGGGGGGGAACAAAGCAAATATATGGAAAGGCTCCTGGGTATTTGTGTGTTAAATGAAGGATGGAGGAAAAAAAAAAAAACACAAAGCCTATAAACACAAAGAGGAGACTTTCTGGCCGGGATTAATTTTTCAGATGTTAGGAATGTTCGGTATTGAAAGCTCTCGGTATGTAAGACGTGTTCACGTTGTTCTTTGTCTGATGGAAACATCTGCCGGCTCAGACTTTCAGCCTCGGCGCCGAGAATTATGGAGCTTGTTTTTGTTTTTTTTTTATTCAGCTAAAATGGGTCAAGAAAGTAACTTATCATGTTAGATCCATCAAACGCTACAAAGCGACCTTAGCGAGCCCGGCGTTGGGGAAGTGGCTGTTTAGAGGTGTTTTCCTCT